TACCCTGACTTCTGAACCATTTTTATTTGATAAAAACATAGCTGTGAGAAATCCCTAAAGGATTCTCATTGCTTCAAGATGCTGCAGTTTACACAATCATTGCCCATTAAAGATTCAGCGATTTATGACATCAGTATCTCTGTTTCTCTAATTAATGCATTTACCTAATGTCATGGTGTATGTATGACAGGTGTTGACCATGGGAATAACCAGTGAGTTCTTATAAATACATGTACATGTATGTACTTGGAAATCATCCACATTATTGTGAGGTTAAAATACCACAGCCACGGTTGAACAAGCAGAGGATAATATAGTGCTGGTAAACTGGTATTGAATGCATACATGTCCAAGGACGTGTGAGCAGAAATAGAAAATACACTTATTCATAAATGGTCCGTGTTTATAGGGACTGTTTGGAGCCACATGTCCCCCAGTAAACACCTGGCTCAAAGGCTGTTGGCATGGAATTGTCCTTGACAACATTCTAATCTCTTCACAAAAGCTTTCTAAGCTGCTAATGCCTTGTACTGTGCAGATGTTGGTGGTTATGCAGAATAGTCAAGCAGCTTTACACAAAGTTTGAAGAGCTACATGTATTGAAATATACTGCAACTTTACATTACCTTTTCAGTGGTAAAAGTTTATATCAGGTTTTGCCTTTCACTGCAGCTAAAGAGCACTGAGTCATGAGATTTTTCGCTTCCAGCTGTTAGTCATGGTTGTTGCCTATAAAGATTTACAAAGTTGGCCATGGTTTTAAGCAGCTGGTGAAAAAAAACAAATTGCCGTCACTGCATACAAAAATCTTTGGCTTGCCTCCGTTTTGATATTTCCTGTTTTTCATGATCAGTTTAGACTGTCTTTTGCACCGAGGTTTGATTCATAATCAACTTTTCAACAAATGTGGCGCTCTCCTTTTTGATAATTCCGTTTCTGTTTTTACTCAGCACATGACCATTGACCTTCCACAGAAAAAAATCCACATACTTTCAAAACTCTTTAATCATCTCTGTAACAGGTTATGAATCAGAAATGAATTGCATGTTTTGGAGATGACTGCAGTTATCATAGTTTTACCAACACTGAAGTTTTACTTAGCGCAAATTCACTAACAAGTTAATGAAATAAGCACTTGTGCTCAAAGGTCTGGGCTACATGCACACATTGTAAATTGCATTGTTTTGACAGTTGCCTATGTTGTGATGTTGCTTGCCCTTCTTTCGATTTGCAAATAGGTGATTCAATTACTGAAATCCACAGAATTCAATGAGAAAGTACAAGCACTGAAAACTGAGCTATGAAACTGCCTATTGTCCACAGCACTGAACCACTCATTTCAAGGAAAGTTGAAGCTTTATTCCCATGTAGACCTTGGGTAAGAGACTCAGAGGTTACTGTTACTTGGAAATTGTTTAAAAACCCCACTAAATATAGAAATGCAGCCGTAAAACTAAATCTTAATCTAAGAAACTAAAACTGAATTAATGGAAGTCATATGGTTCAAATTTAATGACTTATTATGTACATGTAATTTCCCTGAATTCTTCATTTATTAATGATTTAATTTCTAAAAAAGGTTTCAAGTAATATTTAAAAAGTGCATTGACAGATCAGTCAGTTCCAATTTGAATCACACAGAACTGAAAATGAATGAGTCTTCTGCTTTGCTTGCATGGACTGTTCGCAATTTGGGTATTGATGTGATGTCAAACTTTCCCGCCAAGATGAATCGGTGGTCCACTTTGACACTTCTCTCATGATTTGGCAGTGTGTTCCTTGACCAGACTTTTTTCCCTTTAGCCTTGGTTTTACCAAAGTGACCACAGTGGATGAGGTTCGGGATATGTTCCCACACCTAGACATGGTTGACCATCAGCGGAGAGTGCCTGCCCCCGATGTAAGTACATACACAGATGCTAACTTCACAATTTGGCTTTTCTGATTGGCTGATAGAGTATACATGTATCTCAAAGGGGCATGCTGACATTTAAGGCCTCCTGCATGTGCCAATTCAGGCTGTTTCAGATTGGCTGAAGGTATAACCAATAGTAATCGAGTTGCAACTTTGGTCGCCCAACTCTTCTACCAATCATTGTTTCCCAGGCCAACGTGGAAATTTTTCTGCCTCGGATTGAGGCAGTGGTTCTGTTTGGTGAGCCAGTCCGGTGGGAGACCAGCCTACAGCTGATTCTGGACATGCTGATCACCAACGGACAGCTGAGTCACACCCCAGACAACATCCCCTACCCCAACATACCGGTCCTTGGCTGCAATGTTGACCTTATGTGGATGTCTGAAGCTCATCTACCAAGGTCAGTTTATAAGGTTGTGTTGCAAAAACGGTTGAAAGGTCAGTTTTATGGAGATTTTACGCTGAGAAATTTGTCCAGTCTAAAATATAAAGTACATGCCTTGCTGAAATAGACATGTGCAACTGGCAAAATGTTGTGCCCATTCTTTGCTCTATGCTTGTATCCTAAGCAGTATTTTTTGCTCTTTCTAGCTTACAATGAGAAGCTATTCCTAACCTTGTTTGAGAGAGAATCTGCCTCATTTTGAAGGGAGTGGAAATGGGTAAATTTTAGATTGGCTGAGACTCAAGTAATCATCGTTCTCCTTTCTACAGGCTTGGCCATGGCTCCTTCATGGTTTGCCTGGAATCCCTTTACAAGGTAAGAACCCAGAAATCTTCAGTAAATTATGGGTCAGCTTTTTGGTGGTTCTCCAGTAAAAACACTCTGCAACATATAAATAAAATTTTGCAGTGAGAGCTTCAGCATACTTGCCTGTGAGCGTTACTACTGGGGCATTGGAAGCCAAAACCTGGGATGGCCTATAACAGGTCTGTATTGAATCGACCTTCACCACGTGGTTTTCCTATTCAGGTTGATGAGAAAATTGCTGTCAATACCAAGGCCTTGTGTGAACCCCACTTCTGCTGTCAGGATGTTCTATGTATTGGCAGCCAGTAAGAGCTGGAGACAGACTTGGAAGCCTTATTCCCACTGAAATGTCTCCAGTGTTCCTCCGTTTCGAGAACTGCATTCTTACACGGTCATGTCTCTTACTTTGCAGAAAATCACGGGGAGGGATCTGCTTTACACGGTTCTGACAGGCAAACCCAGTCAGGTAACTTACCACTGTGCAGAGAACGTGCTAAGCCAGCAGGCACGGGCCATGGGATGTGCAGAACCACTAAGAACACTTTATGCCATAGGGTAAGTCATGCCTCAAGTCATGCCTTTTCATTCTAATTACCTCCACATTTGCCTTAAAAGCACACCCGCTTTTTGCATGATTTTGAATGTGGGCAATTTTTCGGACGTATGGAAGGCTTTGTCTTCAAGGAATGTTAATGTGCAACTTCTGAGATGTTTTTCTCACTTCAACAAAGGAACTTGAAATTCTCTTTATGAGCCCAAGCATTGGGCTCTAAATCTATGGCAGTATCAAGACTGAGATATTTATGAAAGTCACTTGATTTTTTTGGAGTCACAAGCAACTTTCAATCAAAAGTATAACATTTGTTGCTGCGTTGAAGCAGTAGTACATTTTGTAATGTGTAGGCTTCTTTCCTACGCAGTGACAATCCAATGACGGACATCTATGGAGCCAATCTATACAACCAGTACCTCACAGCCAAAGCGGCCAAAGGTCTTCAGAATCCAACTGGTCGACAGCCAGCTGCAATTCGCCAGGGTGAGGTCATGTCTGATCCCCATGACAACATCCACATCGAGGCAGGAGATACGGTGGACTCGACCAATCACCCGGTCAGCGAGATTGACCACCACGTGTGCGAGAGCGAGGCACTGATGACCGACACTATCGACGACGGCTTCCCAGTTACCATGGAGTCGGTGCTGGTCTACACTGGCCTGCATTCCAAGCCGGACGACATGGGCCAACTGGACGAGAGCCACTTAGAGTTAGATCACGGCCATCGGGACTTTGAGTACAACAAGGCCCTCATTAAGCCTACCATAACAGCCCAACATGTCCTAGATGCAGTCAACATCATCTTCGACAGGGAGAACTTCAAATGAAAACCCAGTGGGAGATGGATTTGAATATCTAATCTCTGCGTGTGTGATAACAAATTCAACATATTTATTTTCCACGGGGACATGGCAGATTTTTAAGATTTTATCTCAAGAGAGTATTACTTATTGTGTAGCTAGCCACAAGCTATTCATATAAAACTCTTTTTTTCTGTCTGACTGCAGGACATTTTCATGTTCTGTGAACATGAAATATTTAGTTACAATTCTCAAAGTGTCGATATCCGGCACAAGATTCTGTAGCCATTTATACAGGTATCCCTTCTTTTGAAAATATTGCTGGGACATATTTTTTGCAAGTCTCTTGGACATCAGCAAGTTACACATTGAGACTTAACCAGTATAAACACGCTGCATCAACATTCACCTTAGTAACCAAAGAGGAAAGCCATACCTGCATTACTTGACTTTGGCTGGAAATAACGTGCTTAATGTACATGTATGGGAGATGCATGAAGCCGCTGGCAAATGCCTTTCATAGATGCATGCGTGCTACTTCCAGTAATAGCCAAACATTTGGACATGGCCAAAGATCCTGAACAGAGTATTATGTGTTGCAGTCTTAGTCCCCTCTTTGTCTCATAGAGTTGTTGCTTTCTTTTTAAGAGCCAGGCTGACTGGAATTGTTTGCGATGCTACAACAGTGAGAACCTGGTAAAAGCCATGATGCTCAATCTTAATCTTTTTTTGTTATCCACCCAAATCTAGCCTCCTGTGTTTGTTGGAGTTTGATTGATACGGGACGGTGGAGCATCAGCAACTGTTGCTCTGCATTGAGCAAGTTCACAAATGTTCAGAGAATCAGTGTTCATTACAATGTATGGCTGTTCATTTTTTAAAAGCAGAAACACGCTCTAGGTTTGATTTATGTTTGGGCAAGATTTATATGTACCCAAATGAATCCAAACTAAATACAAAGTGCTCCTTAAACGAAACGAGAACGGTTATGTTTCACTATTATGCAGACTGTATCTAGGCATTAGTGACCATTGCTTGATATTGTGAGGAGTTCTGTTTTTCAACATCTTGAATGTTTTGAAGTTCCCTCCAACCTTTGGGGTAAGATCTTACTCCTTCTATTATGCACTCACGGGGGTTACCCTTACGCCTTAAAGTGAGAAAATTGGGTATGTGTATTTGTAATATACATGCATAACAAAGATGTCTTTCATGAGAAGTAGCCAGCCTCTTAGTTATTCACAAAGGCATCTAGTCAAAAGAGTTTTCTCTCAGGCCATTTTTTCTCTCGGACCATTTTTCAGAACAGACTTTCTAGCTGCAGTTACCAGCCAAAATGTCACGTTGCAAATTGTGTTCAGCTGGTTCTCCGTTGATTTTTCTAAGCACGTAAAATTGCTTAGCAATAATCAGTGTTCCTGCGGCCTGGAAAAGTCATGAAAAATTATGGAAATTTGTTTTTCCTTGCTCAGGCCTGGAAAAGTCATGGAATTTTGTAAAAATGACTAAAGTCATGGAATTTTGTAAAAATGACTAAGGTCATGGAATTTTGTCATTGAAGTCATAAACCACTGTGTGATTTCTATTATCAGAAATAAGTGCATAAAATCTGTGATTGTATTTGCAACCTAAAAGGCGGAATAGTCTAAGAAATTGCATTATTTGGTCATGGATTTTCATAATTGGGTCATGGAAACATCATGGAATTTAATTGTCCTTAAGGTTCAGGAACCCTGAATAATTCATGAAGCTTGGTGCATTTTTCTTGCAATTTGACTGTTGATTATATAATACATGTAACTCTGTTATTTATGTTACATACTGATTGTACGAGTCCTGGAGGATTCTGTTCAGGGATCACCTATTTTTGTGATCCTTTTCATCAGCATACAAAAGGTACTCTTCTTCAAACCCCCCCAAAAAAACATTAGCAGGACCTTTTTTCAAGGCTATGAAAGTCTACACTGGCTGTAAACCTTGCCCTTGCTATTGTATGTCTTGTACGCTCGTGACAGGACACAAAATTGATGACCCCGATGTAATTAGTTTGGTTCTTTTAAAGTCTTTTGGTTTACCACTGTGATTCACTGTCTTCTAAACTGTTTGGTTTTGGAGGTTGGATTCAGAAGGGTAAGTAGGAAAAAGAAGTGGGAAGATTTCTGAAAAATCTCAGCTTGAGCACAAATAAAGTATTATTAGGACAACTTGTAACTTTTGTATATAAAAGGCTAGTCACACTCCACATGAAGTCTGTTTCAAGGTAGCTTTGTTCTGGTAAAGACAAACTTGACAATGATATTACAGTTCACGCCGCTTTCTTTTTTAATGAACTGTATACAAATGTGAGAGAGAGGTTTATCTATAGACCGATTCGCTGACGCCATTACTTGCAGTGTCCCTGTCATTCAGGTTCACATTTCTAAACTTGAAACATGCAACTTGACGCATCTGTACACTGCAGTAATTGCTCCTGACTTTTGTTGCCAAATCGGTCTTTACGAATTTTACTGAAAAACAAGTGTTATTGTCAATATGAGGGACATTCCACGAACAGGCTCATACACCCCAGCTTTCCTAAAATCTTGTATATCCCTCTGTGTCTAAATACTTCCTATAGCTGTTGTACACAAATTTTGAATACATCATACAGATATAGATTATGTAAAAATTGTCTGAAAAAAAACAAGAAACCTACATGTACATGTATGTGTAAATTCTGCCTTTGGGCTGCTCCTTTTGCACATCTGTATTATTTGACATTGTGTAAATAGACTTTTTTTGCCATCATAAAAGAGATCACTGTTTTCTTAAGTAGTTGTACAGACATTTGACAGTTCCAAGTCATATGAAACCTATTTTACTATCTATTTATTCTATTGTATTTGGTAATATTCCCTACTTTTTTCTAGGAAGGGGAGGTTTTCAGTAGCATTGTTTTATTTTGGTTGAGGATGGTAAAATGAACAAGTTGGAAGTGCAAATGTGACACCTAAAGATATGCATGATTGTTTTCAAGCAAACTTGATTCCTGGGTCCTGATTGGTCAATCCATGACAACAGACTGTGCAATATTATACCCACATGCCATGGCTCATACAGCACTCCTATTCCATGATTCCGACATTCAGGATATGATGCGTTCGGTATGCAAAATAATTCAGAGCTGCCGTGCATGTCCAGTGAATCCACTGTGAATCAAATGTGGCAATTGTGCATCAACTTTGCTTGAAGTAAAATTCGTTTTTCCACTCGAGCTTGTCAGATAATGATTTGAACATAAGCAACAATTGGTTAACTTCCCTGATAAAAAGGAAGCTTTTGTGGTATTTATCAAACACAGCCAGACACCATTTTATTTCATTTCCTCCTTCAGACAGTGGGCTGGATTAGTCTCATTCTAAAAGGCTCTTTCGTGTTCCACGTTTTTAATTGTCGAAGAAATCTTTTCAGATGGCCATTAAGATTGCAACTTAAACCATTGTTGGTCAAAATATAACCGCATCAGTGGCAAGCTTGTCTAACCATTTTGTCCATGGGCATTAGTTCATGGTGGAAGGTGACATAGTTAATCATGCATTAGATTCCTAGGTAACAGATTAATCACTGAGATAGGCATGCTAATTGAGTGATTTTAAGCTCCTGTAATTTGGTTTTTAACTTAAATTGCCTTGACATTTTGGACCCCGTTGTTGATCATTGCATTTTTGGGATTAACGAGAGCTGTACTAATTGTGGAAATGTGTAGATGTTCCAAATAAAACAAACCTTATTTGGACAGAATTGAAACTGTTTCCTTCTTCTTTGTGTTGCTTTGTTCTTGAAATGCAGTTGAACAGTAGATCTGTATCATAATGATGTCATGCTTTGTTTACACATGCACTTTCCTATGACGGAGAGAACACGATCCATCAAGCCCCCATAGGAAAGATAGATGTCAACAAGGCTTGACCACATTTCAGGTCTAGTTTTTAGCAATTACAGGCAGGCATGGGAGGGGCTTCCCAATTTGGAAATGAAGTCTTGCGGAAGCACTAGCTATGTTTTATTACATGAAGCATGGATGCTGCTTAACTGGAGATGTGGTTGATTGATATCTTGTGGAAACTTTAAGGTGATCACCGAGTATTAAAGACGACACTTTTTATGTATCCCATTTGGCTGCTATTAGGTCAATATCCAATATGACACAGTTACCTAACACAGCCAACAGAACCTACGGCACTTTCTTGAAAGTTGCAGATATCAATTTACGGCTCCAAACTTAAAACGGGAAGGCAAGTGCCATTCAAAACACTTTCAAATTACATGTATGCATCATGGTTTTATTATTTCACAGGATAAAAATAATTTTCCCACTTACGAAAGCACTGCCAAAACCTTGCCACAAAATGACCTTTTTGAGCATTAAAAATACATTTTGTAAGGAAAATAAAGCTTATAAAAGCAATCTTTTTTTGGTTCCAAGCCACATAGCAAGATTTCTAGTTCAGTCGGGATTTACAGATATCATATTGATTATGGTACATGTAGTTCCCTTCCACCAGTACACAAGAAAAAGTAAAGTCCAACACCCGTGGCAAGAATGTAAAAAAAAAGGTGTGACCATGTAATACACACTTGCACAGCTTCCAACAAATCTGATGCTACACTCTACTTTTGGCACCCCTCGTCAAATAATTTTATCACATTCCAGCTTGCTGAACAACCTTTCACCTCCACGTTTTCAAGAAAACCAAGGGCCGGATATGCCCATAGCAAATTTCCCAGGGAGGCAACAAGTGTGTTAAGGAAAAGCTCAAAATTAACATGTACATCCCTCCGAGATTAGACATGCAATCTAACAACCTCAGAATGTAAGTAGAAGTTGTGTAAGTTTTCATGCAAAACTTGAAAAGTAATATTAATGTGTTTTCATAAAGTGCTACTGCTGAAGGTGCTATTTGAGTTTCTGTAATCTCATCAGGGCTGCTTGCAACAGCCTCAAATGAGATTATAAATTCATGGTTGCACCACAAATCAACTTATCTTGTAAACTGTGCATACCTGGGTGCAACCAACAGAATAAAATGCAATATGCAAAGATATGTGATAATTTTTTAATTTCAAACAAAATCCGTCACGTTTCCTGTTGGCTCAGCTGGTGATATAAGTTTCTGTTTTGAAGTGATATCCCAATAAAAAAAGGGAATTTCATAAAGAGCAAAACAGGGTTGCCTCGATTGCCAGTAGTTTCGATAGTTGGAAACTACCAGTCAAAATAATGTCCCGCATCAAGCTTCCATACCATTTTAATAATAAACTTTAACCATGCACAAGAACCAAACACTGATGGTGTGAACATTTTGTCGACGTGCCAACTGACCCCTTTTCATTCTCTCCACATTATGCTCCAATGGTCTCTCCCAAATCAATATCACAGTAACACAGTAACTGCAAATGTGTATGTACCAAGATATTTTGTTTCATTAGCATAGATGATTTGTTAGCGGATTTGGTGGGTTAAATGTGGTTTCTGGATATTATATAACATTCAATAATTACCTGGTAATGTATTTACATTGTAACACTAGTCACCATACAACTATCAACATTAACCGAAGTACAAAGCATACTGACACTCATGATTTGTTTACATCACGAAACTGTTCAGTGCATCTCAGTTTCTTCTGTTGTGTCGGTTGTTATTGTTAAGCAGAAAAATAACTTTCATTTTACGCAATTTTTCTGCACTTTCAGATTTGTTTACCTAAACACGCACATGGTCTGAAGCATTTACGATTTATAGTACTCTTTAACAAATGCGTTTGTGCGTGTTTGTTCTCGTCTCCTCTACAACATTTTGCTAGTAAGCTTTGTTTACGGCAGTTTGTTCTTTGTTTTGAGTTTAATGAGATTCCTCTTAAAAATGCTCCCAAGTTTATGAGTTTAATCAAAAGTGCCACATTGCTATTAAGCGTAAACGTTTTTCAAGGTTTGGATGAGAACGGAACATATAAACTGCAACTCTATTCAAAAATAAATTAAATTCAGCATCAGAAAAAAAAACTTCTCAATATGAAACAATAACTCTCAGGAATACAATGTTTCAATCAAGGCTTACATAAAAAATGGAATTTAAAACAAAACCAAGGCATACAAACTAAATAAAGAATGAAAGCAAAATTAATACCGAACTTATTTCTAACTTATTCCATTGACTTCACAAGAAGGGTTTATTTTTCCCACCTAATTAAAGTCACTTCCTTCCACAGCAAGTACCACAGTGAGTCGCTTGCGAGATAGAACATACACCTTGTCTGACGTTTGGTTGCAAATCTAACTCTGTCTTGCAACTTTTTTTTGTCTTCTACAAATAGCCATTGTTCGGGAACTCTATGAAATGAGCCAATTTGTAACGCACATTCCTAAAAATATGCACAACAGTTTTGAAGAATCACCTGGGTGTGTTCAGTTGTACATGTATTTATGCAATGCCTTCCCATGTACACATACCTGCAACAGTGGAGGCATGCATGACCAACATGCATATAACTGTATTAAAATACACCTAACTTATTTTCAGTAAAGACCTTGATGTAAGATCAAGAATAGCCCAATGATGTCATCTTTCCTAAGGGCATGCATTAAATCTCACCTTTTGGATATTGCATATCACACTATTTTGGTATTAAACTCACACACAATGCCAACGAGTATGACAAGGCATCACACTTTAAGAAAAATCAAGTGGTAAATCGTAGTCTATGAGAATGATGGTAGATGTACATGTACATGTAGGCTGGTACACTGTTACTGCAGTGTAGGCCAAGTTCGATCAGCAACAAAAAGTCAACCACTGGTTGATTATTCCTGGTACCCAGGATACATTTTGTGAACAGGTCACTGGGGACAATCAACCACTGGTTGACTTATTGCTGCGAATAATATCTGTTTGATTCTCCCTGGCAACCTGTTTACAAAATGCATCATGGGTACCAGGACAAATCAGCTATGGGCAAGTTCAAGCACGGACTTCAGTTCGACTAGTAGTCAACTGCTTTTTAACACTTCACATTCGCAGTTCAGTTACACTCGAATGACTCTAGTTGGCCTCGTTTCTAAAATCTCATCGTTGCTCAAATTTCACTGTTGGCTGCCATTCTCACAACATACATGGCTACTGAAATCTCCTACAGTTAGTTTCATGTGAATGGTCCCCTCTGTAATGATAAATGAAATCGGTTACCGAAAACCAGTGGAGCAACCATGCCCTGGGGCCTGGTCTCAAATACAAGTAGTTGACTACATAGTCCAGGCCATCCATCATTCAGGCGATGCTTTCAAACTAAAGTTGATTATAGTCATCACTCAAACTTGTCCAAGGTTCAGTTAGCAACAGTAAGTCACCCACTGATTGATTCTCCCTGGTAACATGTTAACAAAATGTATTCTGGGTACCGGGCATAATCAACCAGTTGTTGACTACTGTTGCTGACTGAACCTAGCCATTGTAGTGAAGTTCATCAGTAGTCAAATCAAAAGCCAAGAGTGAGTTGAATGAAAAGTCTGGTCTCAACAAAGGACAGGAATACCTTTTGTCCCAGTTCATTAGCTCGTGACTTGGCTTGAGACTGGCTGACTTCCGTCTGACTTGTGAGGACTTGCAAAGGATTACATGTACATGTACACTGTTACGTTGTGGTGTCACTGTACATTGCCAGTGACAATAAAGGTGTACAATTCAATGCTACAGTTTGGCACAACCAAGGTATTTTGAAAGACATGAACCTGTACCCTAAAGCCTAGCCCAGGTTGGGTGTTTTCAGTGACTACATGTATTTATATCAATTCATCCTGCCACAGCAAACTTTTTCACAACACTGTTTTTATCACACTTTTCCCAGACAGAAGTATCTAAAATTACAGTCACACACTTCTAGTAGTTGTGTTTGGAATTACATGAATGCTTAGTTCAGAATGGGTGATTAAGTCATCATGGAAACCCGTTTGTCAAAACTAGATGACATCTCCACGCTTTCATCATAAACGTCCCCGACAGAATTTTCATGTGAAGACTTACACTTGCATGTGCACGTGTGAACTGCACAGTAACCATTAGTATGGTACCCAGACCAAAAGATACCAATTACTTTCAGCAATTTTTGAAATGGCAGGAAACAAGCCAACATTTCAGTCTTCACACTAGATGATTCATTTATTTGGGCAATGGTGTACATGTACGGAAGTCACAATCTACCACAATTTTACAAAGGACAGCCTTTGAATGGATATTGGTCATAATTCAGCAGCTCTTAAATCGCTATTTGCAAGACGCATTTGAAGTATAGTGCCCAGGATACTTTTGCTGCATGTTAATGATGAGGGACTTTGCCAAATGTACAGAGACAAATCACTAAAATTGGCACCTAAACACTTTCCACATTTTTTTGTCTGATAACATGTACATGTACATGACTACACCATCGGATCAATAGAACAATTCAAATGTGATTCTGCTGTGCTCAAAAACGCACCAAACAAGAACTAAAATTGTTGATTTTTTTTTTCCTTTTTTGGTAGGGGGTGTCCATATCACAGTTTCACAGATTAAATACACAATATACAATGTACGTATATGTGTACATGTAACTCCTAATAAATGATAAAAATCACTCAACAGACAAGGTAGGTTGTCCACATTTTTGGACGTTTCCCTTCTTTCGGGATCACAGTCCTTGAGATCTGGCAAACTACTTTGCATGATGAGGACTGATATTTATTTTTATTTTCTGACATGATCCAAGAGCCAAGTACATTTACATACATGTACATGTGTGCAAACTTTGTATTCATAGACGTATTGCATCAATAACCAATACCCTCCCGAAACAAAATCAGTTCACTGACAAAGAATTCAACAGTAAAATACCAAATTAACAAAGGACAAGTCTGGTGCCCTAGTAGTGTCTTTTTGTACGACACACCCATGATTGTGGCTTCAAGGCAAAAAAATGGCTGATGACATCAAGGAATTAGCATTTCAACTGCATCTGCATTGCTACATTGCTGCAGTTCGTTACATCGATAGCTGAATACCGGTCTCCTGGAAATTTCTTATTCCATCCTGACCTCTGAAAGCTGGTTGATAGCATCTTTGTGGAAGAACAACACACAACAAAGCAGTGTTCTAGAAGAAAGCCCAGGGATTGAAAGTAACAGCCTGATTTCCAACCAATCTTGTGAAAGTAGCAGCATGTCTTTTACATCATAAAACAAAAAGTTTCTTCCTTTCCATTCAAGTGCATGCAGTTAGTCAGCATCGTCACCTTGAAGTTGACAAAATATGACAATGGTCACCATCAACATGATGGAATGTCTGTGCCCCCACAAGGTCAGGTGAGAAGGCTTCACAAGGTCAAGAGTCATCACTGGTGTGTTGAAGGCGATCACTGATGTTTTACGTCATCATTGATGAGCAAGACTTCATCACTGATGTTAATGGCCATCAATGATAAACAAGGAGTCATCACTGATGTGTCAGACGTCAACAGTGAGGTGTCAAAGGTCATACTTTACAAAGGTCACGATGCAGCCCAGCATCACCCGCAACAGTTCCATCCATCCACCCTCTTGGCATTGTAGTTCAATTTCAAGCTGTCGCCCCCATCCAGGGTAGCCCCGCCCGCGTGCTTTCGCTTCAGTTCTTGTGCCAGGAGGGTAAACGTTTGTTCCACATTGGTGGAGTCCTTGGCTGAGGTCTCCAGGCACTGCAACATCCCATGGTGTTGTGCTATGGCCTGGGCATCGGCAAAGTCTACCTGCCGCAAATCCTCCAAGTCTTTCTTATTGCCTGAATGAGAAAAATTCAAGATTGGATGAAATTTTCTTGTTTAAGTGGCAGACACAATTGATTTAGGCTCTGCTGATATTAACCCTAACAGTCCCGAATGCTACAAAGTACTACTTAGTAGTAAAATGTAGTACTCAGCCCTGTCGCTTGTAAGAGGACATGACATTATTATTCTCTGAAGCCATAAAATACAATAGTTACAGTGGACCGACAGATGTCTGGAATAAAGACTACTTTGAATTCAGAGCAACATCCCTTTGATAGGAAAATGTTCCCTGTATGCACAGATTAAGGAGTGCATGTATGTGGTGCTAGTCACACATTGAACTCATGCTACAAAATTCTGTAGGTCAACGTTTAGTCTCCGCGAGTTCACTTTGACAATTTTCTCACCAGCCAGTCTTTTCTTGATCAGTGAGGGGAAGCTTCTAGTCAAGAGTGAATACTGTGAGTGCTGACCACATAATTCTCTAGCTTTTTACACAATGGGCAAAAGTACCAAACTAGTTCGACCTAAATCAGCCCCAGTTTCAAGCTCTGTTTCATGAAGTTGGAGAAAAATCTATTCAGAATTCGAAGACCTCAAATTTGAGTGGTGAATTACTTGAATTTTTGACCATTGTATATTTATAAATCTCATTGAGGAACTCTACTGGTTGAAGAATAAATTAAATTGGCCCAATTCTGGTTAGATTTTTCCACCTCTCGGGGTTCTAAATTAACAATTCTTCATTCTGGAAATCAATTACCTATCAACACTTGAGCAACTGAGTTCCCCGCATACTTTTGTACGTCTTCAATCCAACGTGGTACATTGTAAAAAGTTTCCTTCTTGGAGATGTCATAGGCAATGATAACACCATTGGCACTGCGATAGTAGCTTTGGGTGATAGTCCGGAATCGTTCTTGCCCTGCTGTGTCCCACACTTGCAACTGGTTTGTTGAAGATGTAAAAATAAAAAGCAAGAACAAATTGTTTTAAAATAATGACAAAGCTTACTTTTACAAAGTTCAAGTGGAGTACCAAACACTTTTTTTGCATCATCATTTACACAAGACTCCCCCCAAACATAAATTATGCTTTTCAGTTTCCTCATTTTCAAATCAGTAAAAAGTAGATTTAAGCAAAGAGTACAGAATAGAGGGCCTTCGTGGAGCGCCCTCACAGAGGACGTTTTGTTATTTAGACTTAATGGCAATGAATGCACAAAAGGTTTACTCGAGCCTGTCCAAGAGGAAGAAAGAAATTATGGCTGTGCCGAATATCCGAATAACTAAATATTTGATTGATTGTTGAATATTTGAATATTATTTGTCGAATTTGAATATTCAAATGAAAAAATTCATGAAAAGGAAGGGACAACTTTCTTTGTTTTAAATGAGAAAATTGCACTATGGAGGCTTGTTTCAAGCAGATTCAAATGAAAAGTGTCAGAAATCTTACAAAAATTTAATAAGTAGACCCACGCTTCGGAATTTTCTCACCTAAATTTCACTTTTTGGGACTAGTTATCATTTTCCAACGGCTGTAATAACATTTTAAGGCAAAATTAGTGTTGTATGCATATGGAACTCTTTCAAAAAACTTGTTATAACTTGTAAAAAACTTTGTGATCGCTTGAATGTGTACCTCAACCCCCCCTCCAAAAAATGCAAGGCCCCACCCACACTTTGTTATCTTGAAATAAATTTAAATTATCAATCATCTTAGCAATTCGGCAGGCATCTATAAATTAACTACAAACAGATAGATGGTTACCTTGACTTTTTTACCATCCACCGTGAGTGATTTCATTGTGAAATCCACACCTATGGTGCTGTGTTGTTTCTCGAGGAAAGTTCCCGATTTGAAACGCTGAACAACACAAGTTTTACCAACGCCGGCATCGCCAATTAAAACGATCTTGAAAAGATAATCGAAGGAGTCATCAGACTCCATATGGTATGGATAAGACATAATTGTATTCTACTTAAATACGAAGGCAGATACTCCATTCAGTCTCGCATTTTTTGATGAATCGGAGAAATTGTTCGCACCCAAACTCCACGTACAGGCGGCCACGACTCTCCCTGATGACGATGATGTCACCGTGGCATTTGCAAGGGCAATATTTCCCTGGTTTCAAGATAATCGATGTATATGTCCCAATTGCCGGGTACCATCACGTTGTACTGCTCAAAACACATGCTATTGAAGGAGACCGGAAGTATTAACTTTAGCTGTCCCAAATTGTTCTTTGAAAATAACTGGCCATGCCAAAGTTACTGAAAATGTTACTATTTAGGCCATTCTGTCCGAGTTCAATATGAATTAAGGGACAACTTAATTAGAATGACATTTTTTTGTAAACCTAAAAAAATAAAATCACGCTCAGAGCTCCCCAGCCCTACTAGTATATACTGCTAGTGGTATCGTTTGTCAGTGTGTCAGAGGTTATATTGAACTTCCGGCGTGTGTTCGCAAAATTTGAAGTGTTGTGGTCGTCGTTTGCAGATTTTTTCGCTGTTGTTCATAGGGGTGTCCATGGTGTTTGTCCGGAATTAACTTTAAAAGCAAAGGTATTTTTAGATCTTGTTTCTGTTTTGATTTTTAATTGAAGGTTTTTGCTCACTTTTAGTTGTTGTTTCAAGAGCAGTGGCCTAAAATAGTGAACGGAGGCCATTCTCATTAGCCTCGTGCATGTCATGTGCATGGCTGTGCCCAGTTTCCGGACAGTAGGTTTTAAAGCATTGCGTGCATTTCACACGTTGTTTGAACCTCCATCATCATGTCCATGGTCATGATGGTTTAAAACGTAAAATAGCTAGGAAGGGGTTTAAGGGCAAAGTCTGCGATCTCCATATTTCTCTTTCTTGACTGATTGATTTGTCAGTGTTTATAAATATTATTATATTTGCATTTGGTAGTGTTTGTTGTCATGAATAATTATCACCAAAACCATGGAGGTAGAATCACTGCCAAAACTAGAAGAGCATTAAGCACTGTTGTGGTCTTGAATTCAACATTCAAGAAAAACAATTCCAAACTTGACTTTAATGTAATCAACCCAGTTCATTGAAATAGCCAAACTCCGTTTTTATATTTCAACCAGAATTTAAGTACTGTTCTCCATTCCGTTCATAATTTGACATTTGTGGATATTTCCTTTTTGTAATTAGATCACCATGTTTCAGACAAGATCAGAGTATGACAGGTGAGATAAGTATATTACCCCCAAAAGCGCAAACAGACCATATCACTATCAGTTGCCAGTACAGTTTTGTCTACCTGCTTTCTCAACATTTACTTCATTAGAAGAGTAAACTGATTGCGGTTTCACCGTGTATCAATCTCTTTCTCGAGTAGAAGAACCACACATACTGAAGAAAGAGATTGATACATGGTGCAACGGCAGTCATTTTACTCTTCGAGTTTCTGTCACCATGAAACCCTTCAAGTCTTATTTACTTCATTCACCTCTTTTAAATACATCTAGAAATGTTTTGGAATGTAATGTAGCCCAGGGCAAGTTAAATTAGGCAGTTTCCAATCTGTGAAGAGCTAAATTTACACGGACAACCAGTTATTACACAGCATAAGTCAGTGTAACATGCACTAAATAAAATATTACATGTGAGTTATATGGTTACTTACAGTTTTGTGCAGAAAATGTACCGGATGGATTTCAAACTTGTTTCTGGTTTATTTTCTCCATTTCAGGGGGGTGAACACATTTTCCCCAGAGGGCAGGCTTTTCCAAGTTGAATATGCTATTGAAGCTATCAAGGTAAGGTAATATGTTGAAAATGGATACATTAAAAAAATTGGACAGGGATTTTAGGGAGTGTCACATTGGGCGGGTGGGAGGGTGGTCTGAACGTTCCATGTTCTCATTTCTGAAATGATGGCCATTCCACTGGGAACAAAGTGTTCCCACTGGAACTCTGCCACAGCACGGTCTATGCACAAAGAAAACCATTCCCGCTGGTGATGGAACATTCCAAAGAAACACTACCTTTCCAAGAGGAAGCTGAAGTCACCAAAAGAGTCATGTAATAGCATTACTGCTGAAATGATTAGAAGCAATGTATATCCCTCTAACTAGATTGTCTAAAACTGCTGTATATTTTTCAACACAAAATTACACTTTAGCTATGACAAGATTAAAATAATACTGAAACTTGTCAGTCATACAGAATTTTGAAAGTAAAAATTGCTGACTTCAACCTTGTGTGGTGTGATCCCTATTAGAGAGCCTTCCCTGATTCCATTTTCAATATTGAGTTCCCCTGCATGATATTTATTATCGTGCACTTTATACTCAATATTTGTAGAGAGCTTGTGGGGGGAAATGGTCAGACTTGAACCAATGGAGTCGCTATGACCTGCATGTTAATGTAGACATCTTTCTTACACTCCACCTCTGAGCTTAATACTGGAGGCAGGTGGCTAGGTTGAATCTAGTGTATGTATATGTATCAGCGAGAACTGCATCTAGTATATGTGGACAAATCTTTAGGTGTGCCCTTGTTTATTTAAAATTTGAATTTCTTTTGTGGCCCTGAAGCTGGGCTCAACAGCCCTGGGCATACAGACCTCCGAGGGCTGCGTCTTGGCTGTAGAGAAGCGTGTGACTTCCCCGTTGATGGAGAGCACCAGCATTGAGAAGATTGTGGAGATTGACAGCCACATCGGATGTGCCATGAGCGGACTGATCGCTGACTCGAGGACCATGATCGATAGGGCTCGGGTTGAAGCACAGGTGAGGGCATTTCCTGGGTTGAGAGAGAGAGATGATTTAGCCATTTAGAGTGGTTTCCTGAACACCAACAGTTGAGCTTTGTGGAGCTCTTGATACACAGTGTATTTGCTTATTTGAAACTAAATGAGCCTTGATATGAATTGGTCTACAGAGTCACTGGTTTACCTATAATGAGAAGATGTCCATTGAGGCTGTGACGCAAGCTGTGTGCAACCTGGCTATGCAGTTCGGTGATGATGACGCAGACAGCGGTGCGATGGTTAGTCATGCAATCTCCACGCAAACAGAGAAATTGACACACTAACTGGCCAATGCATGCCTTAAACCCACAGTTCCATTGGCAATCCCTAAGACTGTGGCTTTAGATGTGTAATGCGGTTAGTTAAATAGATTTAATTTGTGTCTTAGGAGGACTGTTTGTGACAATAATTTGCTAACTATCGCTATTTATTGGCTCAGAAAGAATCTCTTTTGGTACAAGACAGTTGATATATATTCCTCTGTTCATGCATGTGGTTCAGAGTGTATGTACGAGCAATTCTGCAAAATGTAGCCTCTCTGGCAAGAAAATGTGTAACTAATTACATGGATGGGTAATTGAGTGCCGTCTCTGGGGTGGAAAGTTACACGCTGTAATGCTTTTGTACACATTCAATTGAATAATTTGTGATATGCGACGAAGCACCTTCAAATATATATGCACAGAACTCAGTTAGTCCTCCATATGTGTCTCTTTAAATCACTGCAGAGCCGGCCATTTGGTGTTGCCCTGCTGTTTGCAGGCATGGACGAGGAGGGACCAAGATTGTAAGTAGGGAACTCCCCCATTCACTGAGCTAGGGGTTGGGGTAGGATCATCGATCTTTGCCAAAAGGTTGCTAGAAGACGAAGGGAGTGGAGGCTGTCTTTCTTGTAGTGGAACACTCAGCAAATTAGTTTTTTCTCTCGGAATTTTAATTTTCAGCAGGTAGGAGAACTACAGATGGGAATTAACCCTATATTTAGGTTGGATGGGGTTATAAAGGCAATGTTGATGGGTTTTCTTCACAGCACTTGCTTTTGACATGCTATTTATAGGTTTCTGGAACTGTTAACCATAATGCTTTGAGAGCCAAACATTAGAAAAAATTAACATCATTTTTATTGATGTAGGTGCAGTTGAAGAAATGGGCATCAACTTCCAATTAGTTGGTTGAATAGATGGTTTAATTTGCTTTCTCATTTCATTTTTACTTGCAAAATCCTTGTTTTCTCCAGATTCCACATGGATCCGTCTGGCACGTACATCCAGTATGAAGCTAAGGCTATAGGCTCCGGCTCAGAAGGGGCACAGTCACAGCTGCAGGAAACATACCACAAGGTGAAAACAAGCACACGCCATCAGTTGGGTCTCTGCATTCATCTAGCGAGGGCGCTGTTGATTGCAACAACTAGGGGCAAGTTTGAGCAACAAACATTTTTCTACCATTGGTCGATTTTACCAGGTACCCAGAATATACTATGTGGGCAGGTTACCAGGGAAAATTGGCCAGTGGTCGACAGATGGCCAACGCTGGTACTTGGCATGGGGGATTTTCCAAGTCTCAGGTACGTCTGCTTTGGGCTCAAGTTCTATGAACTCAAGTTCTATGAACTCGGTGCCCTGAGTTGAGGCCCGCAGGAAGTGACAAATTCAACTGGCCTCAACATCTTAATTAAATTAAACTGTTGAGGCAAGTTGAATTTGTCAAACTTCTCTGATTCTGAATATGTGAAACATTTGTATTGATACATTTTTTTTCTCTTTTAGTCTATGACTCTAAAGGAGGCATGTAAAGAGGCCCTTGTCATACTCAAACAGGTCATGGAAGAGAAACTTAGCTCAACCAATGTAGAGGTAAGATTGGCTCATATCTGTTGCCCTTTATCTTATTAACTCTGACACCCCCATGACTGGTGGTTCTTAGCAAGGACATGTTCACGTTGTTTATGCATTGTTTAAAATGACTAAATTTCACACTTCATGTAGTTTATTGCAGTTCCGTGTATTTCAGTGCAAAACACCAATACGAAAAGAGGAGCAAAAATAACTGACAACGGAAATTAGTTCTTTTGGAAATATTCTTGATTTGTTTTTGTTTTTCATTTCTTGCAGTTGGCTACAGTAACACGAGAGAAGAACTTTGTGATGTTCACGAAGGAAGAAATTGAGGCAATTATAGCAGAAATGTAGATAATGTGAGACCAGGTTTTTGTAAACGTGTACAAGTTTTTCTCGATTGTAATATTAGTTATCACACAAGTGCAAGTGGAACATGGAATAATGTCTTGTGCATGTGTCGTATACAGGACACAGATGCACTACATTATTCTGTGTTCTAAGAACACAAGCATGATAACGAATTGATCTTCAAGCAAACTTGACGCATAGTAAAAAATGTTATCTGGGCGTTATGCGCGTAAACTCGCCACCTTTGAATTTCAAGGAAATTTTGCGGTTGTGCATTTTGCTTTTAGCGTAAAGCGTTGAGTTAGAACAGCACATTACGCGGGGTTTGATATGAACCGTGCAGTATGGTTACATATCATACTGCTTGTTGCCACGGATCGACCAATCAGAATTGAGAATTCAAGTTTGCCTGAAGATAATATGTCATATCACAGACTATCCTAAAAGTGTCTTTACAATGTCCGGCATCTAGAATTCCTTGAGATCTAGAACTCTTGAGAACTTTTACTGTTAACACTATTAAAAAAAACACATGACTGGCCCAAGACTAAGGGGTATCCTCCATGACAGAAATCAACCCTGATGTAGTTTTATTTCGTTGCTGTATAAAACTTCTTTCCTCTGTCTGTAAGTTTGCAAGTGAACCGTTTGAGATTGTCTGTGGGTTACCATCTAACTCAGAAAAGAGACTGTAATCAGTAAACATTAAAGTGAGTAACCAGACTGCTCAGATATTGACAGAATTTTTTAGAAATTATTGGCTGTTGGAAAACCAGCACAAAATGAAGTTCATTATGAAGGCTTTTAACAAATCAGAGTTTGACATGAATTTTCTGGGAAATTGACGTCAGATTCTTTGTTAACAGTGGTCCATTTTGAATACAACGTGCAAACTCTAGTCCTCTGGTTATTGCTATTTTTCACATCTTTGAAGGTCAAGATGTTCCGTTTCTGGTTATAATGATTGGAGGCGTTAGTTTCAACTGTGCATTTTTGCACAAACTTAATGGGACTACCAAATTCTTACGAGTAACACTTTGGGTAGGCCCAGTTTTATTTGGATTGAGAGTCAACTTTTGGGGTTGCTTGCAGACAGCAAAGTGAAATTGGCCTAAGTGCATGGGGTCTGCTAGAGAGGCACAGAGAATCAACAGGTGAAAAAGAAAGGGTATCAATCCGACCCTAACAACCTTTGTTGACAAGGGGGAAAGGGTAGCAAACTTAGTGTAGTTTTCCCAAAGAGAAAAATTCACAACTGTCACTTCATTTATGAGTCATAAATGCATTGCACGTGACCTGTATGAACATGTATTCTTTTGCAGTTCCAAATTCTTAAGAATCAGGCTATTATTAAAACTGATTGTCACTTTTGACAAATCCAATACTTAAGATTTTTATTTCTAATTTTGTATTCCCTGTGGTTTTCACTTTTTAAATAAGTTTGCCACCGTGTATCTGATGACCTTTGCTCAGGCCACAAACTTAGAAAAAACCTTGTATATGATAAACCAGCTTTTTCTTTGCTCGTTAAGAACAAGGATCTACATATTAAAACATTGCAACAAAACACTGAAAGAACATCAAGTAAATTGAATTGCTGAAAACATTTCTAGAAATTTTATTTACAAATAATTAGCAGCAGTTTATAAAGATTTTGCACAGATGAAAACGAAAAAAAATAATAAAAATGCTGTAGCAACTTGCATATGCACTCGGGTACCCCTACAACATGCACCTACAATAACAGCTTTTACTCAGGGTGCATGTGTGTCGTGTGACCAATAAGCCATGCGCGTCTTGAGTAAAGGCTCACACATAAACTCTGTATGCAATGCATATTCTTTGGTCTTTTCCACATGGCTGCATTTTCATTTTTCTTCACCTGACATGGCCTAATCCACACACGACTTGAGGTCTTTTCAAAACAAATGCACTTTGTGTAAAACTACATGTATGAGAAACAGTGCTTCAAAGAATGTTTTTATGGAGACGGACCTCAAAAGACTTGTGTATTTTTTTCCAAAGACAAGGACATTTCTGTTCTAAGATATGCAAACTGTGTTTTATAAACATTCATATGAACGTACTGTATCACTATATCGTGGTACATGCATTACAATACATTACAATGAGCATGGCACAAAACTTTCAAAGATGTTTTTTTAAGGCAGGATTGCATTTTATTTTAGCTAGAACAGTGCAAAAAATGTTCATATAAAAATATGTACACCAAACAGAAATAGATTTCAGTTAATTAAAAACATCCATTAACAATTAAAGGTGGGACACCAGTCTGCGTTGTAATTTCTTCATTCCTTCACATCTGATTGGAAATATGTTGGGCTACTTTTAGTAAAACAATGGACAATATTATGAGGACAGCTTTTGCCATAGCACGGCTGATCAAGATTTACTTGTTACAGAAAACCACTAGCACACAGCATTCTGTGCAAGATAATTGTTTAAGCATGCACAAATCTCTAGAAAGTGAACTTGTAATCAACCTGGACAAATTTACCACATGTATTGACAGTTTTGGCTTAACTCACACACATTTCTGTGGCCACTGAATGTATTTTTTCCGTACTATATTTGGGCAGCGTAATTTACTCTACAAAATACCCTGAAATTCTCTGTACGACAAGTCACATCTATACCTAAATGCTAAAGACACATATAAACTTAAATATCAAATTTCTTAAAAAAACAATATTTTAGGGACAAAAGAGACCTGTGATTAGATTTACTGAAAGAGTGGTGTTATAATCTGGAAACAGCACCAACTGTGTGATGAAATCCCACGGCAAAACACTTTGAAAATGGAAATCACTTTTGGCATTCAAACAGTTAAATTCATAAATGTCTTGTGGTTTGTAGCACATAGAGTCCAAGAGTTGGGTCATGTCCGCACACAACGGCCTGCCGTTATGGCTTTGACACTTTAATATCCGTACAGCTTAATCTTGTTGACATCTTTATCAGGGCACTCCCTGCCCTTGTTGTAATAGTAGTAATTGCCATCCTTACGTTGAAGCTTCTTAATGTAGCCCGAGTTTGGCCATCTGTCGATCTGGTCGAACAAAGAGAGGAAAAAACTCTGGATATTAACCAGGTTAATTAATGCAGGGTTTGCTTGAAGAGACATCACAACAAGCCACCTGTTGGAACCAAAAATTAGCAATACCAACTCAATCTCCAGTCCAGGGATGAATCCGTAGGCTACAGCAAATTAATGTTTGAGGCAGAACTTTTAGACCCAGAATATTTAGACCCAGTCCAAATGTTAGAAGGCAGGGGCCCAGTGCCCAAATGACAAAAGAGAAAGGGGTCCACAGAATCCAAGATGCTGAGACTTATCAAGGCTGACTTGTGTTTAGGGTTTTTTATTTCAGCTTAGGGCCTAGACCTACCTCTCCCTTAACTGCGTTGTATTCCACAGCATCTCGGTAGCCCGCCAGTTGAAGTCTGTAGGCCTCTTCAACCTCCTCAGACCAATGTTTGGGTCGACGGACTGATTTGGGTTTCATTGAGTCGACAGGACTTGCCATATTGGTAGGCTGTTGTCAGCGGTAGTTTTTCTCAGAGATGACTCTGTGCGTGACACAAAGTAGGGAAATGTAATGTTAAATTTACACACGTTATTTTAAGGGGATTTTGTTGTTTTTTCAGAAATCCGCAAATGCAAATCCACTGGCTGAGTTCACTGGTAAATAATGCTCACAATGGCTTTTTATTTTTAAATACTCACCAACAAAATCTGACTGAAATCCTCTTCCTTGTTGTTAAGGCTCTAGGAATGGCATAAACGATCGGATCACCGGTTTATAATGTTCTACGGCCGGTCGCGCGTGGTTGGTTGCCCAACATTCAAACATGTTGTGGGTTGTTTTGACGAGTTGCCAGGGAGTGCTTTTTAAATCCTAGACTGGCTGCAAGTCTTCGACGGCTCTACGTTATTGAAAGGGCGCCCTCTGTCCGTGTAGGCCATCGGGTCATGCCAAGTAGTACTGCTGGTTATCTCGAAGTCACGGTACTAGTACGTAAAAAGTGGTCTCAGTAAATGAGACGCTCAGCTGATCCAGAACAAAAGCGACAAAAATACAAAAGCAAACAAATAAAAATAGCAAACGCACTAATAAAAACAACTCCAGAGTTTCCTTGAGGAGAAATGCACTTTTGTTAAACTTCATTAATTCAAAATACACGTGACTGTCAAGTCCAAAAGCTTGGAAGGCAGACTCGGTTAAACACAACCATACAAACTGTAAGAATTGCGGGCTTCTCTTTAATAATTTTGCACATTTAAGTGTCTTGCCTTTATTCTCCACAAACATAACTGCTTATGTGCACAGATCGGCATTACCACACTCCAATTTTCAATGTCGAGTAAATCTTCCAATCAATTACACTGAGGCTGATTGCTTAAAATCATACGGATTGATTTTCACAATAGTAACCCAACTTATAAAATTACTATCGCTAAACGTACTTTGAAAATATTACTTGGAATAAGGTAATGAGAAATATAACTGTCATTTTCCAAGTTCATTTTATCCAAAATCTACACCATGATATGAACATCAATTATTGAAGTCGTTCGAGGCTATCTGATCAACGAGATACCAAGCTACAATGCAAAGTACCTACATGTAGGTTTGCCCGCCCCATAAAGCTATATTAAGTTAATAAAGCCCTATGGTTCACCTTACAAAATGTTCATTTGGGTTAAGACAGCCCCACAATGCAAGACATGTAATCGTACATTTTGACAGGTGTGAATTATTATTATTATTTATTTCTGGTATAATGACACCAAGGATTCCTCAAAAGCGCCCTTGATACTGTAAGCTCGCAAGCCTGAAGAAACCGGTAAAGAGGAGACAATGAGAAGCAGTTACAGTTTTAGAGGTGGCAGTGGGTAAAACCCACGGACTCGGGTAGGGACTGAAAACCCAATCCACATGTGGACCGAGCCGGGATTCGAACCAAGACCGCAGAGGTGGAAGGCAAGGAAAGAACCACTACGCCAACCTGATCTCCCAAAGAATGGGTGCTCCGACAAGTGACGAGCCCCAGCGGTATGTGGGATTTTAAAAAGTGGTCTCTTGTCAGTCTCTTCGAGGCTTTCCTTTTGCTACATGCTCAGTAATGTGTGATGGCCTCGCCATTTTGAATGAATACTGGACATTCTTGACCACTTTTGGATGGCTACAATAATAGAGCCATCAAAACACACTTTTGGTTGTCTTCAGCTCCACCTGCTTTCATAAGGTCCCCAACTTTAAAGATTTAGCTCAATACAAGTGTTTCACTTGAAGAACATTAAAACGTCTCACATAAAACCAAAATATTTTTTTTATATTTAAAGAGTGGCTCTGAGCCGGCGATGAAGCCACATGATACATGAAGCCTCATTTTGAAAAAGACCGTGGATTGGTAGTTGGGGCCAACTATTTGACCCTGAGGCACTGCTGGGGTAAACAAAGAAAATATGGGCCTTTTTCCAAACCCCAGCTGTCTCCAGTCATTGGCTTCAGTTTCAGGAATTTAGTCCCACTAAATAAGGTCTTGCCAAAATCTCAATTCAGCTGTTTGGCCAACATTTTGAGTATTTGCAACTGACTTGCAACTACTAACACGAATCGATCCTGAACATAAACCACTGCCGGAGATGAAACCTGGATTTGAAAAATGGCCGTGGAATCAAACTCCATTAATTGCATGGTTCACAGTTGCAAAACAACCAGCAACTCCAAATATGTTACTCCTATTTAACAACTTACAAAACACTTTAAAGTCCCATAAAAATAAATGTGGTGCTCCTTAGAAACAAACACTGTCACCGATTTGTCTTGGGAATGAACTATCAAAATTACTTGTAAAAACCACAAGAAAACTACAATTTTAACATACTGTAAACTTGAACAGTAAATGTTGTTAACAGAGCATGGAGACTTTATACACTACTTCACAAGAATGATTTACAGCTCATTATATCAAAATTATACATGCTATTTCAGACTTACAAAAAATTAAATGAAAGTATGCTAGACCAATGCACACTCTACAGAAACTAATCACCAAAGAATCAGCATCAACTTCCACATAAAGTGTTTGGCCTTATCTCTCACACAAGACTCCAAAAACATTTCAGAAATTAACCTTCACCCTCTGAACTCGCTAATTTAGTGTGATATTTAGTTTTTTCTTTCTCCAAAATGTCAAACAAAATGTGATTGAACTTGAAAAAATCCCCAGAACTCATTACTTAAGAGTCACATTCTAATTTGTCTCATGTCAACAAAACACAGAAAAAACTCAATGCTTCGCTCCTCAAATTAAAAAGAACAACAGCACAACTTAACAAGGAACATAGAGATAACTGTTGATGTGAAAGCTAAACAAACGGCATAATGCTATTTGGCTTTTGTACATCTTGCACTTTGACACTGTTGGGTTTATTAAAACAGATATACATGTATTGCGATTCTTCAAGAGTACATTGGAGATTCCGTAGGACAGATCCAGAACTAAATATTCAGGGGAGCCATCTTTTTTAGATGGGGATTTGAAATTTTTTCATGTTACATGCCATGGAAGAGGTAAGGCTAGTTTTTCGGGCTTTTTACATGCTTTTTGAAGGATGGGGAATGAAATGGACCACAAACTTGCCTTTGTCTCATTGTTAAAAAAAAAAACATGACCTCTTTTTTGGGTGGGGGAGGAAGACCATGGCCCCTACTGACGACCCCCCGCCCCGCCCCCCCATACACTGTTGGAGATATCAGGCTAATTTCAAGGAGTTACTCGGTAAGGGCTAGGGGCAGAAAATACTCACTTAAAGCAATCACAGGCTACCAGCCAAAATGCCCTGACACAGTGCAGATCAGCTGAAACTGGTACTCAGCCGATGCTGTGCTAAGTAGCATAATGAATCCATGGTCCCACTTCAGGGCTGCGCTTACAACAGGATTTTGCACTTGCGATTGACATTCTATGCATTATGCCCTAGCACAATCATTCTACGCTTACCACCTAACACACAGAATTCTTATGCATATCTAACAATACAGAGCTGCATTAAACTAGCAGAAAGCTAGCACTGCCTTTCTAATACGCGGATAATATTTAGGTTTGTTCTGGGCATAGCAACAGTCACAGGAGGTTGGAATACGGTCTGGATATTGTGCAAATAAGTTACAATCTAAACTATTGCTGAATAACATTCTACATGCCTTTGGGGGTATACATGTACATGGGCAGATACATGAAATTGGTAGAAAATTGTACGATTTCACTTCAGGTTTTCTCATACTTCTGCTATTCAGTCAATTTCATTTTTTTACACAGCAGACAAGAAGTCAGGAATGTAAAGGCATCGCACATGTTTACCTCAAAGTTTTGGTACAAAGGAAAAACAAAGCATCTATAAATAGAGCTAGTGCATGTACATTTCCTAAAATTTGATAAAAAGACCCCAAATCAGGCCACCAAAGGACTTGAATCTTGAAGAAATGCCTCAATGGTACGATGTGCCATCAAACTAGATACATTTTTGCTTTATTAGTTGGAACATCAGTCACATAATCAGATAATTAGTACGAAAGGGTCTGCAAGGCATGATGGGAACCCAAAGGCATGATGCGAACCCGATGCACCATGGGAGTCAACAGAATGATGAAATTTTCTGGCAGGACAGGATTGATTACAAAGGGAGAGCTGTTACTTCTTGTTTGCCTGTCTCACAATGGGTAGCTCAGCGCGTTGTCTGATCTCATCTAGACTGTAGTCCTTAAGAAGTTCTCCATTCTTAAAAACCGGTACGAGTAAGTCCTAAATGGAATTAGAAAAAGATTTTGTGAGATACACATGGGGAAAAAGGAGGCGAAAAATTTGTAGCTTGAACTTTTCAGTCTCAATACTGAAAATTGGCATATCCAAAGTCACACATTAACATTCTCCACTCTTCCATAATGTGAACAGCAATATAAAGTTACATGATCACGTTACACAGTAATCATTGTATTAAATGTGAAGTCAATGGAGGGAAACAGGGTCCTTCGGCCAGGTAAGTGTGACTGAGAACACTCCTGCGTGTAGGGTTTCAACCACTACAGATCATCTTCTTCAGCATCAGCATCACACAGATGGTTTCCGTGGCAACTCACCTTTTCTGGATCGCCCCTCCCTTCCTGGACAGTCACAAACTGATTATTCTGAAGTTCGAGTGTCAGCCGACCCTTCTTGGATGTTTTCCCCGGATCGGTGACTGGCTGCTTAAAGATATTCCTCTGAGAAAAAAAGAATTTTCTGATTAATCTTCAACTAATGGAAATCATTTCTTTAACCACTTTCTTCTCTCTGTAATAAGAGAAACACAGAGACCATCTGCTAGAAAAGGTGCAAAGTTTGTTTCCAATTTGACATGGATTTCCAATGATATGGCACCTAATATACATGTATAGCTGAAAGGGAAATAAATTTGCAACGTCTGGAGTGTCATATGAATTGTCAATCAAATCAATTTTCAATCAATGGAAATAATGGAAATCTTTCATTTTGTTTGATTGCTGGTTTCTCAGTAAGATGAATCCTGAGTCAGACAATATTATTTAAAATCGATTAGAAGTCAAGTAAATTTTTCCTTGTAGTTCATATGAATCAATGTGCAGCAGGAAATGCCGTTTGTATGATCTACAAAAAACAGACTTTTCATAGAATTATATCTTTGGTCCATTAACCACTTCCTGCCAGGGATTCTGGATGCGGATACGTATGCTTTATATACATGGCCGGGGTCTCTGAACTCGGACAAAGGGAACAGGGCCTTGGAACAAAAGACCAGGCTGCTAGGCATTAAGAACATTTTTCACTCTCAAAAGTGCAGATTATCCAGCCTTGTTTTGAAACTGTATACCAGGGTTTGGAGCATTTAGAGCCAGCGGATTACCACCGGGGACGAAAGCACTCTACCATCGCAGCGATGAGCCACACAACACCGCTGCATTCTAATCTGGCACCTATTGAAAAGAGGTCAGCAGCAAACTGAGCCAGGTTCATGAACAAAAGAGAGTTATATAACATCGCACAATCTGGGCTCTTTTTACAAGGCAGCAGGCCTGGCTGAAATACTCAGGCGTCAACAGATTTTGTCTTTCAGGCTAGAGTGGACACCAGACAGTCCTTCACGTGTTTGTAAGTGTCCTGTAAATGAAGATAGGAATTTTTAAAGAATTTTGAAAACGGAAAAAAATGATAAATATCCCAGCCCAGCATCATCAACATTGATGACTGCCCCGGCAGGAAGTGGTTAACCTAACTTAGAAAGAGCAAGAAGTATGTTTGAACAAGTTTCTCTCACAGGGTCTTAAACATAAACAAGTCTTTATTATAATAATATCATTATGTCGGTTAAAACCCAGGCGCAGAAATCAATAAACTTCCATTGCCCTCAGGCCAAATTCCACATTCTTCTTACCGCTTCCCCATTGACAACGCAAGAGCTACACTTGAACGCGCACTTCTGGGTGTCACGATTGACCTTCTGCAGCAGGGATCCTCCACTGCCAAAGGTGAGATTCTCCGCGCTCCATTTCCCAGCCTGCATGCGGCTGAGGATTTTGTCCAGCATCTCGGCGTTGATGCCATCCCCTTGGATGACCCTGATGTACTTGGGCAGCTCCTTGTAGCCCTTGGAGTTAGTGACGGTGCCAAAAGCAGTGCCCAAGATATTTAGAACCTGAAATCCCGAAGAATGATTTTGCACTGAAGTTCCTCTTCTTCTTGAAACTTTAAATATTAGAAACCATGCTCCACTACAACCTTGATGAATAACCCTAACACTCCTCAATCCTTCACCTGTTGGAGGACTGAGGACTGTTAGGGTTAATGATGTTCATTGTTAAAAAAAACCTTAGTATTTAAAACACAACAACAAAAGCCCTTTTGCAATGTGGGCTCTAGTTCACTTAGATTCATCTCGCAGTGCGAGAGTGCAAACTCCAAAGTTTTCTCCTGTGTTGACAGTTTACCCACAGACTGACCTTTTCCACAATTTCTGGGGGGTCACCAGAGTCCGGCCGTATCACTAACGTCCCATTCCTTTCCCCTCTCTTAATCACCAAGTCCTTGAGCTCCTGACCCCAGATTTTGGCACAGGCATTGAAAATGTCAAAGCTGTCGGAGACGACTGCCACTAGACCATCGGGGAACTTCTGGAGCATGTTGGCAAAAGCTTCTAGTTCTCCGTCTTTACCCCAAGTCGTGATTGTGCTGGGTTGAGAAAAAAGTAAAAAAATAGAACAAGAAAGCAAAGTAGATAGAAAGAACCATAAAAGGCAAGACAGATGAATGTTCGTTTATAGAGTACCAAACTGTGATGTCATTTTGAACCCGAAGGCAGTTCAAACAAATGGCAACTGAAGCACCAGTAAATACCTCTGGCTGGAAAAAGGTCAAATAACAACCTTAAAAACGGGAGCATTGTAAACTTAGAGGTGATAGTCAGCTCTGACTTTTATTTCTTAACTTTCAGGTATGTGTTAATTGTGGCAAAATGAGACTGCATCTTACAATGATTCTAGAGGCCATTTTCTTTGTTTGGTCCTTGGGTTTCATTTTGCATTAAAAAAGAGCCACTTCAGTTCTGCTTTGATGAATCCGTCATTTTCGCCTCTTGAAGAAAGTAGGCTATAAATAAGAGAAAATGTCACATTGAGCAAGATATTTTGAAGGCCTTTGTTAACTCAAAAGCAGTTCTGCTGTTTGAAACTGATTTGATGAGGTTGGGTCTCATCACCTGATATTTGAAAAGTGGGAAATGAGACTTTTGCATGAGGGTTTATGTCCTTGCAAAGGTGAAGTGGGAAGAAAGCATTGGATTCAGTACCTGTGCTCAGCGGCAGGGATGGAGAAACCAGCCATGTTACAGTTATAAAACTTCCTCAAGAAGACGAGGCCTGCTATGGTGTCAGTTCCCATGAAGTTGACCAAGTGACTGCCCCCACCAATAGCTGCTGTCTGGGGAAGGACGGGGAGATAAACGCAAAGAGTGGATGTTTGGGCATGTATGGCACACTTTGTTGCCTGCCCGTCTCACAAGCGTCGCTGAATGCGGCAAGGCGCAACGAGTTTGGTGATCCGTGGCATTGCCTTCTCTGAGGCAACGGGAGCTTTTCCCATTGACAAGTATCACTGTTAGGTCTTGGCAGGCTGGACTCCGAAAGTTTTTTGGCCAATGACTATCCACTTTGAGCAGAAGCACCCCCTCATCAGTTGAGAACGGTCACGCTAGTGGGGAGTGTTTGTTTTGGTGGAAACCACACATACACAACACATGTATTTCACAGTCGTTTGTGAACCAGTGAACTTTCCTAACAAACGTGTCTCTGTTGCTTGGGGCAAACAGGATAGTAGACCAATTGGGTCTTACTACACTACTTAGCATGATTTTCGTGTTACTCTGTTAATTTCAAGGACCCGTGAAGTGTAATTCTATAATGCAGTCCTTATAAATGCACCTTTGAGTCCCATTTAACCAATTTTCCAGTCTGCTGTTTGCAATTTTTCAGGTCAGTTTGAAACTTTCTGAATGTTTATGCCACTGCTAAATTTGCTCATTCATGAGCAAAAGTGTGATGTCATTCCAGGAAAAAGACCCAACTTTACCGCTAACTCAGCTCTAAGATTTGCCAGAATTTAGGATGTTTGTTCTCTTAAATCTTCTTTTCTTTGGTGGTTCATTCATTTTTATTTCAACTCAACCATGGGAAAGTGAGCCAAGTATTTTCCCAAATATTGTAAATAGGCAAATCTTAATTTCTTAATTTTAACAAAACCCCCCAATCTGAACAGTGTCTTCCTTTATTGTATTTGCCACGACAACTGTGGGATTTGTGAAACTTTTTATTGAAAAATAAGATTAAACAGTATCAGACATTTACAGAGAAACAGAAATATTGCCAAAATATGGCCCTCAGTAAAATTCGTAACACAAATCCTTAATTTTGTACATACTTCAAGAAAACACTCACCAAGACGACAACGTGATGAAATTGAACAACATGCCAAATGGCTCTGGGAATTGCTAGTGTTTAATTAAGATGCGCATGCCTAAACTTCACACGCATGGATTATTTTGAATGGAGCACAACACAATATAAAGTCACACTGATGTGTACACGACTGACTGCATTGGCATACATGTACATGTAATATACATCTGATTACTTTACTTCCTACTGGCCATGTCCTTGCACATCTAGGGAATTCCCCTTTCCTACCAATGCCTCTTTCACATTTCTCATCCATGCAATAACAGGATGTCCCGTATAAACATCATGCAATGCCTGACAATTTTCTGTAAGTCATGCCCTCTTTTTCCGGTACAGATTTTCTTTCCTTTTGCCCTCCTTAAATTTTTCTTGTTTTCCTTACGTCCAGGTGATTACAATTACTCAAAGAGTACTCCATACTCCATGCTCACTTCAAAACTACTCAAATTCAAAACTAGTGGGTATGTACTGTATTCTTGGAAATTCACTCTCTAATTTAGGTTTCAATATTCATGTTTTCTTGAGGCTTGGAGTCAAATGAACTTGTACACAGTTTGAAATAGATGAGTCATGACTCTGAACCCGGTGAATAGAGCAATGAACTCTGATCCTTGTAAATACCCACCTCCACAGATGGAACGCCCCTGTAGCCAAAATCATGGAGCTTGAAAGGCAGTGAGTCCAGGTTGTCTGCTGTCTCACTCAGGTAACGGGCAATGATTGCCTTCTGAGCCCTAGAGTGAGTGGCGATGGTCATGGGGTACCAGACATGCACCAAGATAGTCTGAACAATGAGGCAAATCAGAAATATAGAGACTCATTTTTTGTCAAAAATTAGTGTTGCCTTTAAAATTGATTAAAAAAATTATTACATCAGAAAAAAAATCCCCCCAGAGCAATGAAAATTTGAACAGATCCTTTGAATTTGTTATTTATTTAGTTCTTATGTGATTTGTTAGATTACAAAGAATTTGTCACCTCAGGTTCTGAATAATTCAAATTTTTCTGGTTTTCAAAAAGCAACAGAATAAGCAGGACACGCAATAAGAATGTGTCACTTGTACATGCCAAGTCTGAAAAAATTATTCAATCATCCATAGGCATGCATGTACTGTTTCCAAATGGTAAAATCAGCAACAAACTCATTAAGAATGTGAGCAAGTTACTGTCAAGCAACAGTGGTACATTTGTGATCGATGAGTCACTACTCACCTCAAACCAATTTGTCAGCCATGGTACTTTGGGATCAGTGTTCTCCACAGTAAAGAGGACATTCTTGGTTGGGACTACCGTTCCTTCAGGTACAGCCTTGATAAGTAGGGGAAGTCGACCGTTGTGTTTCTGTCAAAGACAATTGCATTAATTAACTGGTGTCAACCTCTCAATGTGTGGAATTACAGACAAGAATAAAACTATTCACATAAACTTTCATTAGAACTTTCCTAAAAGTTTCTCCTGCTCATGACTTTTAAAGAAAAATCCTCAGAAGTCTTGAATGCCCAACGCAGTTGCACACAATCCTTTAGATCTCTCTAAATCCTTCAAAAAGCTCAACACAAGGACCGGTACACTGAGCTGGAATTCTCTGCACTTAAAACTGGGGACGTCAAATTCAACCACATGTACATGTATAAAAGCAATAATATTGACGAATCCAGTAATTTTTCATTCAACATATCCGATGGCCTCCTTCGTGGCGGAAAGAACTGTGCTGGGTTTAGTACAGAGCGACTATAATGGAACAGTGTACATTAGTTATTAGAATGCTACTAACAGTGATGTGGGATATTGCAAATGACCAGTGATAGCGTTACCATGGTTACTGGAATTTCCAAGGCAATCTAATACATACATTGAGTCTTTATAAAATGTAGAGGGCTTGTGAAACTCAATATCCAGGGACGTACTTCAAGAATGTACGTCCATCCGTCCTCATTGAACACATCCTGACCAAAATGCATCTTGTAGAGGGCCTTCGCTTCAGCGATGTATTCCTTGGTGACTATCTCGCCTAACAGCCATCTCTTGATGATGTACTGAAGGCCAAAGAAGACCGTCTCCGGATACACACCTCCTCGACTCTCAAAGTATGAGTAGACATTGGTCGTCCCCTCCGGGTACTGAAAGTGATGGGTTACCTGTTGACAGAATAAAAATCAGAAAGGTTTGAACACCGGAGAACTGCTGAGTTTGTGACTTGTGAATGTCTTCCCTTCTTCAAGCAAGATCAGATGCAATGGGATAAAATGTAGGACCATCTCCATTTTGGAAGAGAATCATCAATATCTTTAATGAAGAAATTTACCCAGGAAAGGATGGATTTACATCCACAACTTCCTGAACACCGTGCCAGAGTTCTTCAATTCAGTTTCCCTTGAATAAGTTGAAAGACTTTTAATTTGCCAATACAAATTGTTCATTGGTGGGTTGGTGTGCTGGTTAGAACAATAAACCTGAATGTGTACAGTGGTCCTTACGGAATCAATAACCACTGACCTGTCACAACTTGGTTACATCAAACTGTCAAATAACTTTTTAACTGAAATCTCACCTTATAAGAGTCAGTGCAGAACAAGGGATTCTCCACAGCAGGTAAATGTTCCATTTGAACTTATCTCACTTCTTCTAGAGGCAAGTCAAGGAGAAATGAAAAATTAGGGACACAAGTAAAAAAAGGAAGGCACACTTCCATGCAATAAATGTGGGAACTTTTAAAATTCCTGCCAACAGAACTCATTAATCTAGGCATGAACCTGCTAATAATACATGTACTTAAATTCTGATTAGTTTGCAACTTCATTTTGTTTTTGTTGTTTTGGGTTTTTTTGCTTACTTTTATGTTTGCTTTGTCTTCCAAGGATTCAGTTTACAGATGTTTAATGACATGACGGCTGATGTTTAAAAAGAGTTAATTCACAAGCTGCGATTGGCCAGACAATAAAACATGTGAAAGTATTGAACACTTGCAAAAGTGAATACAATCATTCTTCCCTGAAATGCCCGAAAAAAACGTGACACGGCAACATTAGCCAAAACACACAAAAGTACATACACATGTACACTGTACTTACAAATGCAGATATTTATTACAGCATGTTTGCCATGAAAAGCATCACAATTATTTTTTTTCTTTACACACCGCTTAAAAAGTGTAAACATGACATGTGACTGTTCTAAACCAATGAAATCCCAGAATAGAAGTTACAACATGACAAGAACTCTTGGGTTCATCATGTTGTTTCCTTTTTTGCTGTTTGTTCTCTCCTGTTTTTTTCTCTCTTTGAAGGGATCTTTGAAAGGTAAATTTAATTTAAGATCAGTTCTTTACAGACTGATCTTGTACCTGTTTCCAATACTGCCAATTGGTACAACAGAAGCAGGCAGCATCCAGTCTAAAGTGCTGTAGTTTATTTTACATTTTACCCAACACCACATTTAGTGCCAATTACAGGATGGTACTAAGTGAAGAAGAAAACAAAGGAATATTCAGTTCTAGAGGTAGGAGGAAAATCCTGTTTCGGGGAAAACCACGGATGTGGATTCGAACCCAAGCCCCAAGTGGTGGAAGGCGAGGAAAGGACCACTATGCCAACCTGACTCCCCACAGTTCTGGGGGTACGGTAACACTGGGGCTAGATTGAAAAAGCCAGTGCTATAGTCATACCTAGGCTCTATGGGGAGACTGGCAAATCTCTCCACCACATTAGTGTCGCCTACATGTACGTGCACCCATTCTGGATATTTACATCTCACCGGGGCCGGGGATGAATAATGCCATGGCATGAAAACGTGTTTGGTGTTGACGCTGGGCCGGTTTGTTTTCCACAGATCTGGATCACAATCAGTGATCCCAAAGCTGGTCGGTGCTGCTATCAATGATTAGGCCAAGGCAGCAAGGTGGGTTCTGGTGTCAGTGAACCACATGGATCTGGATCTCGATCGGTGATCCTAATGCTGGTTCGCACTATCTAACGTTAGGCCCTAGTACTAGCCTATACTAATTAGGTGACTTTGGTCATATGTTAGTGTCTGTAAACCAACTGATCATTATCCAGATCTGTGTGAAACAAACATAGCCAACGTCAGATCAATGACTGCGATCAGGATCCTCATTAAATTAACCACAGAGGTAGGAAAAGAACAGGCCCCATGTTGACCTTGTTGACTGCCGACAACGGCGCAGCCGAATGACTGCAGTGGAGTTGCCATGGTTGCTACAACCAACCAGACCAGAATGGATCATGAATAAACGGACCACCAAATTAAAGGAAAGATCTAGCGGTTAATAATCGTTGCAGTAACTTAAACAACGCAAGTATCGGCAGCTCAGCTCCTACAGCCTACAGGCCTCAGGGGCGATCGACCATGTCCACTGCTGGAGCAATTTTCTTTTTCATGATATTGGTGCAATGTTGCGATAAGCGTGACGGTACTTACCAATACCACCAAATCCGCATGCACCATGAACATTAATGATCCAAATAGGCCTGATTGTGAAGATTCTCATGCACTCATCTGATGTTCACTTACAACTCGCGTTGTCTATTTTGGAAGACAAGTGTGTTTTCCCCGCTCGGCAAAATCTTTTTCTTGAAATTCTAGGGTTTGGTGCTGGTACATGAATGACATGTGCAGACTTGAAACTGACTCATTTGCTCAGAGCCGGCCAACGCTAGCGCTGGGCGCACGGGAGGGGTCGAATTATCGAGCGATAGCTAGCTGGGTGTGCGCCGAGTTACATTATTAGACTTAGTATCTAGTCCACTTGACGGTCAGCTGCTGTGAACAAAATCTCGAGTTGTGGCGTGTTTGAGTACGTCTACTTTTTTAATTCAGCAATTTAGTTTTTAGATTTCACACAATTAAAAAAATTTATAGCGTGAGTTGAACAGGGATACGACGTAGAAGAAGCAAAAAATTGGGATAACACTGCCCAGGCAATCTCATGATGGACTTATGCTAAGTCTACGCCGGCAAATGGAAATCCGAATTGAAAACGTTTGAGGCTACGGATTGAACATATAAGCACAGTGTAAATAGTCTCAGCCGCAACCCTCAAAAGACCTATGTTCGAAAAGATTAGTTCAAGTTCTTCGAAGTGCACATAATTATGCACGGTTCAAATTGGGGGGAAAAAACCTCAAAACTGTGAAAGGCCCGTTCCACATGATCAGTTCATTACTACGATTTTGTACGCTTTTTATAGGTGTACGCATTTTTTTAGCACAGTGAATGAAAAAAATAAGTACGGCATCCAGCAGGGAAGATATTTTGCCAAAAGGATTACGACAAGGCCTAATTAAGAGAGACTGGTGTCAACGTCTGTGCACAGCATCAGTCCGCAAACCCAAACATTATATATCGGCCTATAATGTTACGGGAAAATGACGAAAAAGTGGAGGTATCTCATTCGAATGTGTTAGCGCCAGAGCTCATTCGAATCAAAGAACCTCCAGTTTTTAAATAGTTTCTCCGACTTGTCCTTCCCTCCGCTACTGTCCATTGCAACTGTCCAAGTTTGTACTAAGGCTCAGTGAGCCGTGAGATGGGTTTGTTACTTTGTCCGGCGTGAGCTCGTGTACATAGAAGCTTTATTCCTGGCGGTCCAAGCCATTGCGCAACTCCAGCTGCGTTCATTTAAACCTCTTTTTCGTTCACGTGCACGATGCATGCATATCAAGTCCCACACGGTGGGTCGGCACCATCAGTGGATCGTAGGGCGTTACACTGTCTTCATTACTTCACAAGTCAACATTTACGTGTATGTTTAGCTACGGAAGTATGCAAGATATTATATGCTATCAATATGACTGCACAGAGTTGGGGATTTTTTACACCACCAAAGTTAGGTTTGGGAACTACTGTTCATCGTCGTCTCTTCAAATATAGACTACTTGGAATTGCATGCTTTCTCATCGAAATCCCTCGGTCGCCGTAGGAAAATTTTTATTTCGTTTGGAAAATGCACACATTTGGAAGATTATCTGCGAAGTACTGCTTGGTAAGTTTCTGAACGATTAATCTGTTCTGTAAGTTATACATGAACTGCCATCGGTTTTTTTTTTTTTTAGTAAAGTTGTGAAGAATTCCATAGAGGAACGGTACTACTCTTCTCGTGCAGTGACCTACATGTGTAAATGTGTATATTAAATTCTTTTCTTAAAAAGAAAAACACAATGACATAATTATAATAAACATTGTAAATTACCATTAATATATTAGTATGAATAGCCTTAGTGAAAATGAAATAAAACGAAAGGAAGGGTTTTAAAAACTAAACCAGATATAAGTGAAATGAAAGAAGTGTTTCACTTAAAACGAAAATCTGTAACTGCCACCGAAAATGTTGGCGCAAGCAATAAAAAAAGAGAACATTAGCTGGTATAGAACGAATAGAATGGTGTGCTGAACCATTCGAAACGCACGTGTCTCATGGTGCGTCACGTGTAAGAATTCAATATCACAGCTGTGTGATTTATCTATTAAGCCAATTTTGATCTGTCAGGTTTACTGTACATTCTTGAAAACAATTGAAACTTTTATGAATATAATGACGTCACAAGAAATGGTTGAAAAGAATACATGGCAGTCAGGAGATATCGAGAAAACCGTAATACTGGAGGTAATGATTCGATCCATCAGTAAGACTTTTACAGGGCATTGGGTTCAGGAAAGGCTGAAGTTGCACTTTCACATAACACGCCATTCCTTCATTGTATTTTCACGGAATGACAAAGACTCATTCGGTCAAGCATAACTATTTATGAGACAAGGTTTATTCTGCTTCCTGCGGAAAAGGATCAAGAATACAAAATTTATGCACACTAGAGACAGCATTTTGGACAAAAAGAGGGCGTCCTCCACTGTAACCAGTTGGCAATATCAGAGGCCGAGTTCGGGTGGCTGGTTCTCGTATGTTAACGCACAGCTCAATTTGTTGTTCATGGGTCGGCCGCGCGAACGGCGCCGGAACAAACAACCGGTTACCGATGGTAGTTAGTGACAAACAACATGCAACATGGCGGCGTCCATGTAGGCTACGTTATTCGAGAGTTAATGTTTGGATGGGCTGAATTCTTTTCTATTTGAACAGGAACATTCATTTCTGTGTTAAAGAAATAATTAATGTTAATTTGGCAAAAGTTCCCATTGCCTCTGGCTTTGGAAGCCATCTCTCTACTTTTTGCAGCTGTTCAAAAATCAAAATCTCACGAGTTTTCCCGTGTGTTCCTATAACCCCGACGAGGAGGTGGTGTGTGATCCTGTTCCGAGAACAGTGTTCTTGAGTCATGTTTCCGCCGTTCGAGCGCAAAAACAAGAAACCCGTGTCAAGAAAAGGCCGCCCGAACTCGACCAGAAATTTTTATTGACGAGCGTTCAACAACGATGTTCCGAGGGCGTAAATATTTCTGAAGGAAAATCTATCCAGATTTTATCTACCAATTTTAGAATAATGGCGTCTTAGAAAAGTGCCCTCGAGAGAACAACAATCAGGGCGGAGGTGGAATATAAATCTTCAGGTTTTGTAACCTTTTTTTCAGTACCGCCCAACAGATTTCCGTAGTTGTAAGCCACAATGTGCCATGCTGGGGCTTCCGGGAGTGCCACGTAATAAGTGGCACGTTGGTAGATCTTATTGAAATATAAAAAGGACAACATCCCACATTTAAATTATGGTGAATCCCCAAAAGAACCCTACCTTTCTTTGTATAATGAGGACATGAACGTCTCCAACGAGTAACAGATCTACCTCCACAAGGAAACCATTTTGATCTTATTCCTAGACACTGTTTATTTGTGAACTGTCGACTACGATGACACTAGACAGTTTTATGATTGACACGCGTTCCAAGCCTCCCTTTCAATCTTTTTCCAAATCTTGCGTGGAAAAATTAATTTGAAATTATTCATTAGTGTAGGCAGGTCTAATTTTTCATCAGTTTTCATTTTATTACTTTCAATTGAACTCTCACCTTTCAAAAGTGAAGGGTTAACCTCGCTTTTAGTTTCTTTATATCGCCGACAAACAGGGTCCATGTCAGAGATCCATGTCACAACTACTGGAAGGCCGGGAGAGCTTAATTGTGACTTTGTCGTGTTCAGTTCAAAGCCTGGGATGGAAAATTCTTTTGATAAAAGGAACACTGTTTTAATTCATAAAATCTAATTTGGAAGGAATTATACCTTGGGAAAGAAAGGTGTAGAACAAAGTAACGGATTTAGTGTTCGCCCGCACTTCGACCAGGTTCATGCATAATAGATCCAAAACAACACGGCCTTGGCTTGGATTACCGAGGGTAAGGCGTTCAATTTCTCCATCCAGTTATGCTGTCCATAGTCATGAGTGCCTGGGGGAAAAAGTAATTTTGACAGTGTTCGTGTTCAGTTCAAAGTCTTTGGTGGAAAACACTCTGGATAAAACGGACACATTTTGAATTAATAAAATCCAATTTGAAAGGAATGATACTCCATATCGAGGAAAAAAGCAGCAGTACAAAGAAACGGATTTAACGTCTATGCGGCTCGTGCATAATAGATTTGTCTTAAATGATGTCCTGTCGAAATCACTTTCTGATGATGCCCACTTGCAATTTGACGGTTTCTCGATGGTGGAATGACTTTTTTGCACTCGTTGGCATTATTTTGGAAGAAGTTCCAAATGTACATTTGGGTGATTCGGATAAAATGTTGATATTCTACCTTTACGAGAGGAGGATGCGCATCCCCATCCACGGCCTTGAATGTAATTTCTCTGGGCGAAAATATAAACAAGGGGTCTCTGGAAAAAAATACTGGCATGCACATGCAAATTCGAACATGATCCGTCACTTTTTACCACATGACTTTTGTGTATTGTACCAAAGTAACAAGATTTTCTCAGTGAGTGAGGGCCCAACAAAATAACGTACAACGTCGTCAGTCCTCTCCACATGACTCGACTATAATTTACCACCAGTAAACCGTCTTCTAAGGAGATGCAGATGACCACTTGCACTCCCTTATCCAGTGAAATCAAGAGGCCAGGTTGTTGGGTCCTGGTGTGATCCAATGTCAAGACCTGAGCCTGCAAAATCAACCGAGTCACCCGAGCTCGTTGGCGACCCTCGACATGGGGAAGATTGGTTTCAACTTGACCATGGATAATCACGTTTTTACGTGGTCAAACCTAAGGCTCTAATTGCGCACAACCACGAAGGTGGCCAAGGCCGGCGTGTTATAAAGACCCCTGTCTATTTAATTATCATAGTATTTTGTCTGATTCATTTTCTTGACTGCTAGCAGGACTGAACGGTCGCTTTTCAGGAAATAAGCCACTGATGGGCTCATGGAAACAACACCCACAAGTCACTGATCATTTATTTCTACGCTCTTTTAGTAGGCCTTTCTGGAAATTATTTCAACAGTTTAACTAATGTCTAGCTATAAATAAAGGGTATACATTTAATAGGCTGACAACGTGAAGAGCATGCAATGTGATAAACCACTCATTATTTGTTACACGTTATTTCTATGTAACTGGTGAGAAAAGTTGCATTTGCTTTTGAAAGAGCAGTGGACTTAAACAGTAAACAATCCTACCTGTTATGGTCTCGACGGTATCACGCCTTGTTGAAACTATATCAACCATCAACATTTGACGCAAAGAACTCTCATACATATTTAAGCTCCAGCAAGCTAAATGCTTTAACCAGTTGGAATCTCATTG